TACCCAAGTAAGGTACCCAAGACTGCCAGAGAGACACCGAGGCCTGAGGGTATGGCAGAGGGAGCCTCCTCTGAGAGGCCACTGTCCCCAGAGTAACCTTTGGACAAGCCGAACTTGCTCCCAGGTCAATTCATTCAGACTGCTACGTAAATCTAAGCCTGCTGCTCAGGGACATTTCTGCAGGCCTATTATGTGTGAGGCAGGCCCTGAATGCTTGTGGCCGCCTAGTAAGGGCAGAGGTGGCAGGGTCCCCTGAGGTTAAGACAGACCCAGTGTGAGTCCTGACTCTCCCTCTCACCAGCTGTGTCACCTTGGCACATGGCTCTACCTCCCCAATCCTCGGTTTCCCCATCTTTGTAAAACGAACATGGTGGTGGTTCTCGTCTCACAAGCTGTGACAGCTCTGGGGGGCAGTGCACGCGGCGTCTGGGGCCCAGCACCTGGTACCACTGGGCTGAGTGCTCAGTAAGTAGCTGTTCCTGGAGCTACAACTCCAGTGCCAGCAGGTGGCACACACTGGATGTGTCCCCGGCTAAGCTTTGGGCCTCACGGGCACCTCACAGGGCCTAGAATATCACACTTTTCATAACACCTCAAAGCTTCAACCTGTCATCAGAAGGCCAATGAGAGGCGGCAGCTTCCCTGGAACTGGCTGCTGGGTCCTGCCCAAACTCCACTTTCTCACTGGTGCAGCTGCCTACACCATGCCCAGGACCAGGCCCCTGCCCTGTGCAGAATGGGGACTTTGTGTGGCAAAGACTGTGGAATAGACTGCTTGGTCTATTCCTTGGCAAGGGACCTGTGGGGCAGGTTTGCGAAGGTATGACACACACTCAGACTCCCGGAGCATCTGTTCCTTCTGCCTTTGCCATTTACCTACCAGCCTGCCACCCCTGAAGCTCTCTCCTCTCCCCTCCTCATAAGTCGCTTCAAAGGGTGGGACTTCCCAAGAGGTCTTCACCTGCCGTTTTCATTTGTCGGTGATGAGAATGACTTCCTTCCTGCCACAGTAGACAGAGTCACTACACAGTCATCAAGGAGGCTTCACCCCCATGACCGGCGCCCCGTCTCTCATGCTGAACCTCTGGGGACTCTCCAGGGAACCCACCCTGAGCATCTGGGCCGCAAGGACCAAGGAGGGAAGGCAGTTTCTCTTCCACAGGTCTCCACAGCAGGCTGCAGTCACCCGCCGCCACCAACGCCTTTAGTCGGGGTTGAGAAGAGTCTGTCCCTACCCTGGACCATTTCCCCAGTAGTCAGACAAGCCAAGAGTCAAGCTCCAGTGTCCAGGGGACCTGGCTCCCTCTCCTGCTATGCAGCTTCTCTCGGCCCTGACCTCCACTTTGCTTACCATTTCCCCGGAACCTGATTACAAGTGACCTGTGCCCTTTATCCACATGGGCAAGGTTTGACTACCCTACCCTTCCTGGTTGTTTACCCGCTTTAATGCTGAGCTTTCCCGCGGGACGGTGTGGCCCCTGGAGGTCTGGGAAGATGGATGGACAGAATGAAGAGGCTAAAGGTTTGGGGGAAGAGAGAATAGGAAGCGTGAGGCTGAGTCTTGGCTTCAGTGTAAATCCCAGTTCCCCAGGGGCACCTGAAGGCGAGTTGGCAGGCCTTCTTGTCCCTGTCTGAGGTAGGGGTGGGGCAGGAAAACCAAAGCTGAGGCCAGTCACAAGTCAAGGGTGAAGGGAAGTCGCAGGCAAGGGGAAGGGAGTGAACAGTAGGCTAGTCCAGAGAGAGGGTGGCCGAGAGAGCGGTGCTGCCCTCAGGGAGAGACTGCAATCAGCGATAACACCACAGAGCAGGCTACTCCCATCTTCCCCTCATCATTAAGCACCACCCCCATCTTCTCCTCATTAAACCCACACCCACCCATCTTCCCCTCATCACCGTGACCTCCCCTGGGTCTGGGGTGGGGTTCGCTAGAATGCCCCAATGTTCCAATTTGTCCTGATCAGCTTGGGTTTAATTATTCATCACACCACTTCTACTCTCAAAAGTCTCCCAGTTTGGGCAATAAATTACACAGTCACTCTCTCTAGCACATCCAAGAGGGCACTGAGACAGGAGACAGTCAATGGGGAACCGGAGAAAAGCACAACCAGAAGCAAGACCTTAGTGTCCAGAGCTACAGCCAGGCTGGCTCCTGTCCAGCTGGACCCCCTGAGAACTGGACTGTATGGAAGAAGGTACCGCCAGCCACTGCCCAGTCCGAGCTCAGACCGTCTAGGGGGAAGAGGCCCGGTCCGGTGGGCTCTGTTCCCTGTCATCCCTCAGAGGGCCTAGTCCCATGCTGGGCACACAAGAGGCTCTTAAGAAAATCTTGTCATTTCCTTACTTCTCTTTACCTGCATCCAAACCAGACGTAAGCAGTAACAAATGGAAAGCTGGAGCTCCTATAGCTCATCCTGTCCAGCAACACACTGGAGTGCCATCCTAGCCAGGTGCTCATGACTCTGGCTCTCCGGCCACTAGAGCCCACCTGCTGGATATAAGCACCGGCCAGTTTCTTGCGGAGAAACTCTGGCTCTCAGGCAGGATGACCTCTGCCTCCTCAGGATGTGCGGTAAAGAAATGAACGACTGCAAGTCCTTCTCCTGTCTCGGGTAACCACTTGGTCTGGCCCCCTAGACCCCAGGCCTTCCTCCAAATGTGAAAGACATTGGCTTTAACACTGGCTATTTGTTCTGGGAGCGGACGGTGTGGGTCCAAGAGGTCCTCCTGGTGCTTCCTCTGGGACTCGGTGCCCAAAAGAGATCAGTTCTGAGGTCGAATAGGGAA